ATGGTCTCTGATTTTGTACTTTCACCGACTAGCTGGCCATTTCACCATCTGGGTTTGGGCTAGCGGTTACCATGTTTTCCTTGTTGAGCTTCAGGATATCCTGGCATAAGTTCTGATTCAGCTTTCTTCTCGACATGATAAAATTTTGGTTGCATGCGCCATTTTAGACCTAAGTTAAGCAGCTCCTTCTGGCTGATAGAAGATAAATTCATGAATCCGTCCTTGGCTGCAGGCGTGGCGATGAATCCACTATAGATAACAGTTTTCTCGACGTTTTGGTCTTGGAAGCGTGCTCGGTCTTGCTTGTGATGTTATCAAGCTCCTGGCTGATTTGGCTCCGAAGAGTAGCATCAACGTCATGATGGCGCAGCTTGGTTTTCAGCTCACCTAGCTGGGTTGAGAGTTTCTTGCGTGAAGCTTCTTTGGCCTCTAGCTGCATTTGGAGATTGTTCGGTCACCTTATAATAGCAGGGTGATTCGACGTCTTTAACTTTCCATAGTGACAAACCGGCTGGAAAAGTGATGTGCGTGTGTTTTTATGTGTTTTGTAATTTGACCAGACATTTGGATGTAAAATCTGTTAACTGATGGCTCACCAATGATTATGTCTCCTAGAGCTTACTTCGTACTTTACTGTATTCGAATGCTTTTCGTCCGACAGCCTTACATTGCTTTGAGAATGCGGAGCAAATTTCCTTGAAATGCTAGCTAGCTTCAACTAACATTAATGACTATATGCGAACTGATTTTTGACTTACCGAAAACAAAGAAAGATCTGATTTGAGTAATGGAGCATGCGTGCAAGAAACTGACTAAATATGCCTTTGCCCATGAATGTAACAAAGCGTATGTATTTACATATAACTACATACCTGTGACATCAGGCAATTGTGAGGAGATGTAATGACGTAAGGAAACATAGAAGCGATGGGCGCTTAGGCATTTCGATAGCATATTCTATGTTCTCTTTAATGGAAGCAACTAGGCCAATGGTCTTTGTCTGATGATCGTGAAGACATGCGAAGTAGAATCCCTAAGGAAGCTACGCAGAGCAGCATAGCCCCTGCTCATTATCAGAGTTCATTAATGTCTCTTCCCGATTCAGAACCGTTAGCAGGGGGGCAAAGCGCTCGAGATTTACCGGATGTAGGCTGCACCGCAGCACACCCCCAGCGCGTGGGATGCAGTTGACGGTGCATTAAGCGCCCTAGCATTCGCTAGGGCGCTCTCCGTAGGTGTATGGAAAACGCACCAGCGAGATAATCCTCCATCCACCTCTTATCGAAGTTTTACATTAACCTCACCATGATGCGTGTGAAGAATGGACATAACAAAATGATTGACCCCACGTTTCTCCGAGCTGCCTTGCGCTCTTGCTTCACCTAACCACTGAACACAGCGAGAGGTCGCGTGAAGGAAATCTAATTACGCTATTTGGTTGCACACGTAATTGCTGAGGTGACACATCCTGGCGGTGAACTGACCGGTAAAAGTCTCTTTTGGCGAGAATCTGAGCCTGATCCCTGCCGCAGAAAATCCTCCCGAGCTCCAAGAGCTGCTGATCAGGTGGTATCAACTGGACGGGGCACTGCGATCCCGTCGTAAAACATATCGCTTGACGCGCGCACAAAACGGGCTAGAGCTCCCCAGATTGCCCGAAGGATTATTTTCTCGTTACCTGGGGCGTCAGGGCGCAACGCAACTGTCCGACGGACGTCGGCCATCCCAGTCACGATTAACCGGCTCAAGTGCTGCTGTGTCGCCTGTCCGACCTCAGGTGCAGACTTGTGAGAGGCATGGCCGCCCCGCCGCGGCCCCACGCGCACGCCGGTCGTCTGCACCGCCTGCGCCGAGGCTGGGGTCAGGCTCGGGTCAGGCCCGGGTCAGCCTCGGGCCAGGCGCGGGTCAGGCTCGGGTTAGCCTCGGGTCAGCCTCGGGCCAGGCTCGGGTCAGGTTCGGGTCAGCCTTGGGCCTGGCACGGGTCAGCCTCGGATTAGCCTCGGGTCAGCTTCGGGCCAGGCTCGGGTCAGCCTCGGGCCAGAGCGCGGGTCAGGCTCAGGTCAGCCTCGGGTCAGGCTCAGGTCAGCCTCGGGCCGGGCACAGGGTCAGCCTCGGGCCAGCCTCGAGTCAGCCTCGGGTCAGGCGCGGGTCAGGCTCAGGTCAGGCTCGTGTCAGACTCGGGTCAAACAGGCAACAGGGCGGGCGGCGAGGCCAGACCATGCTGTGTGGATGGCTGTATGTTGTGGGTGTGAGGGTGTAAAGCTGTTAAGATGTAATAAGAGATCAGAGTTCTAGCTAAATTAACGTAATCCGCAACTCACAGATGACTGCAAAAACCGTTCGGAATTGCGCGCAGAAAAAGGTGTAAAGAGGTCGCATTCATAGCATTCTCGTTAAAGTGGCAGTCATGTTTCGAAATCTTGTATTCCAATTACACCAATTTTTAAATGGTACGGGGTTCATGGCTTCACCCAGTCCATGCAAAGTCGCTGTAAATGAGCATGATAAGAAAAGTCAGCCGCAAGAAGTGCGCCACGGCATTGTTAATTGTACGAATACATAACATCCACATGCATTACACATTGTGTACGTGATTATACCTCAGTGGAATTCAAGCATAGATGTATGGCATTTGGGCGCAGGCGCCGTTATGACGCCATAGAGTACTATTCTTATATATTTATACCATGGGTAAAACAGATCTGGTAACGGAAATATTTTGCTTTAGTGGTAACTTTGATCTTGGATCGCCATAGCGTGCGTTATGACGAATCATATGCGAAAATGCTTCGCACCGTCTGTTTTTGTCTTCCTATCGCTGTCAAGTGGCCGACAGTTTGACCACTTTTAGCCTATCTTTTATCCATTATCTATTATCCATACCCGTTTTGCGATCTTTCAAAAAGTGTTTCTGTGTGCACACATGTGAGATTTTAAGAAAATTGTGGCGTGCATTGCCAGTCAATATTGTTCCTATAAGAGCAACATTGTAGCAAGGAAAATTTACTGCAGAAAAATATATTTGGGAATGGAATGGAAATTGGCTTGATGACGGCGAAGGTCGCGAAAGAGGAAGGTTCGCCGTGTACTGAGCCTCGTGAAATGTGTACTCGCGAAGTATGAGCATCAGAGCCTTCTGCAGGTACGGCCAGTTGTGTGGAAGGCGACACACCCACCCTTCCGTCTAAATCGCTCGCTCTAAAAAGCGGCTTTGACTCAGCTTGTTACCCGCGGCATACATGACCGTGATTTCTATTGCTCGTAACAGACGTTTGTTCAGGGTGGGGAACTGACATGGTTGTGTACTTAGAGCCAGCTGGGTATCACATTCAGCGGGAGACGAGACCGGGGTGTTCAACCATTATACCACGAAAACGGCAATAATGATGACGATAACGATGGCACCGTCAGCCTGCCATATCTGTAAGCAAACATATGGTACAGATGTGGACAGTACTCTCCTACTGCGCCCGCTGTGGAAATGTCTGATTGTTAGACAGCGGTCTGCCGTACTCAAGACAGTCTATTGAAAAGGATAAGTCGCCAAGGCTGAAGAGTGCTTAATATTGTAGGCTTGGATCATTTCAAGTAAGTGTTCCAAATCAGTTATATGCATTATTCAATTTCCGTTAGCAATCATCTATCTGTGTAAATCAGCTGCAATAACAAAGGACGGGAAGGGAACGTTGAATGATTATGTCAAATCGATCCTCGATGGTTATGAAAAGGTTGAATACCATTATTTAAGTTATAGATACGTTTCAAATATCTGAATGCTTGCAGCCAGTTCAAACTTCAACCCATAGCGACATTTCCAACTGGGATCTCCACACAGCTTCCACGCTGGCGGGCGCTGCACAGCTCGACGCTCGACTTCGGTCCGCCCGGGCCTGCGCGAGGACCGTCGCCCGCTCCTATCTCCCAGCGCCAACGGCCCTCCCGCTAGCCCAGGAGCCAGCCGCATCGACACCGAGGGTGACCCTGGAGCCGGCGTCCCGCGCCGTGTCCGCGTCGAGCACCGCGTTCTGCAGGCCGTCTCCACGGCGCGCGCCGTCGCCACGCGCCACTTGCAGCTGACCGGTTCCCGCCGCCGGGCCGCCGCGTGTACCGCCGGCCCTCGCTGCCGGTGAGAACGATCGCTGGACGTGCGCCGCGCACGGAGGCCGTGGCGTCGGAGATGTGCCGGTGCCGACGCTGTGCCGAGCCGCGGCTGGCGCGTCTGTGTCGCCTGAGTTATCGACTAAGCTTGTTAGAATGGCCCACTGCCCCTGTTGTCTCGCCGCGATGCGTCGGACCGGGAGAGTGTAGTGTCGTTCGTTTCCTGTCTACTTGGGTCGTGCGAAATGATCTTGTCGTTCGCAGGGTGGTCAGTAATTTCTCGCAACGTCAGTGTTCTGTTTCGGTCTACCACAAAACGATGTTCCTACTAAGGCATGGTGCACACAATAAATGTTAGGACATTTAGCGTTTCGAAAAGCATTCCTATGTGATACAGCTGCCAATTTTCTGAAATATGCGTTGACGGTACGCACGTTGAGCAGCTTAGCGTGTGGTTCATTATTGCTCTCACTGGATGTAGTTTTGGTGCAGTTCCAACACGGAAGGCGCGTTAAACCAGATGAGCATCTTAAGGTACAATGCTGTAGCGCGGTCATTTGACACAAGCTGTGGTCAAAGAGAGACGGCTATATATTATGACGTTCTCCCAACAACAGCATGTTGAAACATAACCGCTCACAAAACCAGCAGCAGCATCGCCAACCGTCAACCAGGTCACGTTGAAACGGGTTCACATAAGGATATGAATGAAGTATAGCATTCCGGACGCCAAAAAACACAGCGCACAGCAAGCACAGGATGCTCTAGCGCTGGCGCGAGCCGCCGCACCGCGCCACAACTAGCCTGTCGTAGCACGCATCGCCAATCCCGTCCGCTGTTTTGGCCAGTCCGTCCGGAGCACGTCAAAGCAAGCCAACATCAACCCCGCCGCCGCCCCGACCCGCCGCCGCCCCCGGCGCCGCGGCGAGCCCTCCCCCGCCGGACGCGCGGGTCTCAGACCGCTTTGGGCAGGTCGTCGCTCTCGAACGAGTCGGCGGCGCCGTGCCTCTCAGCCAGGATCTCGGCGATCTGGAACGAGATCGAGCGGGGTGAGCGGCGCGGCGCTTCGCAGTACGCCCGGGCGTGGCCGCGCAATAAGCTTCAGCAGTAGACTGCGACACCGCAGGCGCATTATGCAAACTCCAGATTGCATTAAGTGGCGAGGGGGGAGGGGTGACAGCTGAGGCGGCGATTAATTTGCGGGATGTACAAAGGTGCAGTGCTCCAGATTGCGTAATCGCGTAAGGAAAACAACAGTCCCCACTGCGCGATACTTGATGAAAGGGAGATGTGTACAAAATGCTTGTGTACAAAATGCACAATTAGCTTGATCATTTCAAGTTAAATGCAATACGCTAATGACAGAGAATATCAGGACGGAGGGAAAGCGTTCAGGACGCTGCAAAATGATTTAGAAATGAAAAGACTGTCTCCCAAAACATTCGTGCTTTTTGGAAATGTTATGTCATGCCATGCTGTATGGGAATGTATCCCCGCATAGAAACGTCATGCGGAGATACCGAAGGCAGCTGGGACGCTATTGCGCAGCTGGGAATACCGAACGGTTCTGTCTCCGATGCTGATCTTCCCCTTCACTTTTGTCTTTCTCTTATCATAATCGTGTTATGAAATGGCGAGGACTACTGGGATGCTTACATCTAATTCTTGTCTGTTTTTTCGGAATGCCAGGAAGAGCAGAATGTCATTCACATACACAAGCACCAGGCGCTTGAAGGCAGAAGTAGAGACACACCAGCATAAACATCCTTGAGACAGCCAACCGACTGCTATCTGGATCCCTGGAGCTGTCTGAAACGGATACTGGCACCTGAAATGCCCTGTTTTCCTTCGTTAAGATGATCGCTGCACGATAACACCGATAAGCGCTTCTGGAAAGGACCAGCAGCAGGGACTTGATCACATATGAATGGACGAGTGGCGTACGTGTAGGGATATCACCCAGACGTTACACTACCGTCCTGTAACGAACAAACATCTAAAGCTGATCGCCCTCAACCGCGACACATCACGGCCACGTCGCGCCGTGAGAGACATCTAGCGCCCAGTTTAACAGGCGCACCAAGACACAATTACACGGCAGCTTCGCGAAATGCTTCGACATTTGATTTCTCATGGAAACGAATGTGTCGCAGATGCGCCTGGGCGGGCGGGGCGCCGGCCCTCGGTCCCCGAGGCCGGCGATAGGTCACCACTCGGCTGTCGGACTGGGCCATCCGTCAGTGGCGGTGACGGCCCGGCTCGTGCCTCACCCGGTCCCCCAGCGTCCGCTTGCCGAAGCGCAGACGGAGCGGCCCCGCCGAACTCTTGCGGATCAGCTGGTGGTCATAAGGCGCACGCGCCAGCCGCTGCGCCTGCCACATGTCGTAGAGGTGCTCCAGGCCTGCCGGGCGGGCGGCGGTAACCAGCGGGAGGACCAGGGGGGAGCGGGCGAGCATCACCGACGGGGCAAGTGGCGGGCGAAGGGGAGGGGAGGGGACGAGCCGCCACATCGGTGGTCTGATCACGTGACGATCTGCCACCCCGCGAAGGGTGGGACGCTAAAGGGTGCTGGAAAAAATGCACCTGCCCTGCTGTCGCAAAAAATGGCTCGAATATTTTGGATATGCAGACGGCGTGACTTAAGCTGATGGGTCCTGATCGATGTTAAAATTTTCATGAAGACGAGACTACGTTTTCAGAAATACGCCAACAGCGAGCCGGATAAAAATATTTTCACCAGATTTTGACCAGGCGACATGCATTTCAGTTCATACAGTGAATCGCAGAGCAAGCGGATTCCGTGAGTGGTAACTCAAGTGGTAACTTAGTGGCGAAAAAAGGGACAGTAGCATATATACAGGGCCACATTTATTGGAAGTTATGCTCTGAAATGCATCTTTCTAGCTTTCACCGCGCAAAGGCAGATGATTCGGAAGCAACATGGTTGCACACCAAGAAACTGGGCAGTTAAGCCCACCAGACGCCGGCTACCATTACCTTTTAGGAACGCAGGCTCCTGAGGAACGAGCCATGCACAGAAACACACTCGTACTGAAGACAGGCAGGGCGCACGAATGAAGTCAGTAACCTTGTTTTGTTTTACTGAAGAGCGTAGGAAAATAAGGTAGGGTATCCCGCTTTTGGGAAATTCACACGTCTATAGCTTCGAAGTGGATCGGCCTAATGACATTACCCATTTCGAAAAGAACTTGGGGTTCGGATGACAACCCCATCCTCTCTAAGCGTTTTGGCACGGCAGTTATCACATCAGTTGGCACTTATTACACCAATTTTTATGGCCTTGGACGGATATAAAAACCGTCATTGTCATCGGATGTGACGCCTCGGAGCATCGACGCAGCCGGTATGTCACGGGTGCGATGAATCACAGGAGTCAAACGCAGACGGTGTCGTAGACTTTGCACACAGTTGACACTTTTGCGGTACTTAACGAAACGGAATGGCTTTAGTTGAAAGATCGGCCTATTCTGTTACGCCAAGAGACAAGAAACTGTTTAAGTTAGCTTGCAGGTCGTGCCTGCAGCTGTTCAGAGCAAGGCGCTTCGAGCCAATGTTTCCAAAATGATCAGAGAATCCACGGCGGAGACTCGCGGTTGATGATTTGGCGGTCTCAAATTCTGGAGAACTTGGCCTCAAGGTGAAACGAACATTGGGACACGCCGAAAACCAGCTACGTTCTCAGCTTGGTCTGCAGGAGCGTCTCTGAATGGCAGCCAAGGACGCATGAATGGATCATTATGGCCTTTGCCGCCAATCATCGCTAGCGAGTGGCGCAGTTCACGGCCAGCTCCGAAGTTGTCCTTCGCCCCACGGTCGGTCGCACAAGCGGACTAATAAAGCAATCAACGGCCCTGCTGCGAATCATTCGAAGAGAGGTCACCACCTCAGTGGCAGGGGTGTGGTGGCAGTGCAACGCCGGGTCCGACATTGGATAACTGGGGAGCCCCACACCATGTCACGTGGCGGTCACGTGGGAGATAAGCCCCTTTGGAGGATATAAGTGTCTGAGTGTCCCTAACTTTGTGCTTAAATGTCAACCGACAGTTTGGAAGTCTTAAGTTGAAATGCTATAGCCCACTGGTAGCTCCGCCACATGAGGAGCAGGGGTAAGGCATGAATTTCTGTTGGACGCGCCAACAGCGATCCGCTTAGGTCAAGGGTGATTTCGCTAAAAGTATCTGCCTCTCCCTCTCTCTCTCTCTGAACGAACCCGACTGTCTGGCACGAAAGCTCAATCTGAGCAAGTTAGTGTCATTGAGCGTTCACCAAAGAATCATTCCGATAAGAAGACAAGGCGTGGTTTGATCCAAAAGAAGTTCCGACTGCATGATAACGATGCGCGGCTCATATCGAATCGAAACAATCAGTGGCATCCAAAAGCGCTTCAAACTTGAACATTATCGTTCTTTAGGAGACACGGGGTGAGGACGACTTTCTCACAAACTTATGTACAAATGTGGAATATCATTTATAGGAAGGCTTGACTCTTATTTATGCTACTTTATGATGAAATTTAATCGTGCATTTCTATAGGAAAGCTTGCAAATCAACTCCACGTTGAAGAGAATATTGCCTTCGCGCAAAAGGAAAACGTTCAACATATAATTTTGAAGGACAATGATGGTGACAATTCCGGATTTCTAGAAGGCATACTAACTTTCCGAGAATAACAAACAATTTAGACTGATAATAAGCACTGCGTCGCTAACTTTATATTGCTCTCTGTTGTTAACGGCGGTTTTAACGCAGACTAATTGACACTGAACTTTTTAAATATCATTCACAAAGCTATCATGACGTTATAAAACGCGTTTTTCAGCACTTCCACTGTCCTGCGAACGCGGAGTGAGACACCGATGCCACTCCACCCAACATCGCAGTCGTGGGGAGGGGGGGGGGGGGGGGCGGTGGGGAAGGGGGAAGACAGCCGGGGGCGCAGCCCCGGCCCCGCCGCCGCCGCGACACTCACTCTGCGCCTGGTCGTGCTTGTGGTCGACGCCGCAGACGCTGCTGGCGTGGCAGCTGATGACCAGGCCGACCAGGAGGCAGCTGGCGAGCAGTACGTTCATGGCGAGCGAGAGCTGCAGCAGGACACGGTGCGGTCAGCGAGAGCTGCAGCAGGACACAACACCGTCAGCGAGAGCTGCAGCAGGACACAGCACCGTCAGCGAGAGCTGCAGCAGGACACGGCGCCGTCAGCAAGACTGCCCCCAGCTTGGCAGACCGGCGCAGCGGCCTGCTCGTGGCGTTCGGGACGTGGGAGACGTTGTCATGGAGGTTTACCAGTTGGGATGAATTTAGTTTTATTTCGTCAGAAAGACACGCACAGGCCAGGAAACAAAGTTTAAACAAGAAATAGAGGATGGAACAAAACAAAATATGCATAGTGAATTGATTGCCAGGGAATATGTCAGACCATGGGTGTCGATGTTAAAAGTCTCCCAGTGTTAGGTAAGAAAACAAGTGACTGCAAGGGATAAGGACTGAAATTTGGCTGTACATATGAGCATGCAAACCACTTGAACCCAGAATCCCGCGGGCCTGAAAACGTGCTGTAAAACCGTTTACTAAAGAGCGCTCTTAATTCTGCCACCCGAACGTTAAACAAGAACGAGAACGGGCAACGGGCAAGAACGGGCATCATTCCCATGTCCTTTGGGGATCTTGGTGACGTATGATGAGCCCAGATGTTTGTTGAAACATGTTACCTGTAATAACGCTAAACCGATCGCGCCGATTTGTGACTGAGAACGCTGAAAGATTGTTCTGAATGGGATCCGGTTCTCGCAATTGTGTCAGCGCCATCCGTTCCAACCACGTGACCACATTCCATAAATAGCGCACATGAGAGGAGTAAGGTATGCTGAAGAACGAGTGCGTCCCTGCATCTTACGCACAACGCGTGCAGTTTTCGATTGAGCAGACCAAAAAAGTAGCCGCGTTTTGCGACTGTCATTGTGACCCGACAAACTTTTTGAAAAACGACGGAAAATCGCTTGACATTTAACATAAAGCGCATATGTGGAACAACGGGAAGTCACGTTCCACCAAAGCTGAGGCGCTCGGACAAGGGAGTCTTTAACAGTGATGAGAGGCTACAGCAATTAGTTGAGTTGAGCCTGGTGTGTCAAGTTTCAGAGCACAGGCGAGGTGGATCAAAGCCGGGAGGCCGCTGGACGCATTCTCGATGGGTTCAAAGACTGTGATGACACGACCGAGCAAAGAACGCGGGAGCTTTAACAAATTAGGGACCCTGCTTCACAGCAGTTTTGTGGATGGGAGAGGCCGGGGGGGGGGGGGGAGAGGTAGACGTTAAAATGTTCCGAAAACCTGTTGGATTGTGGAGGTATTTCGAGGTTGCCCGCACCATACACAAAATGCCTGGTGACCTGATGTGACTTTGGCTTTGATCTCAGAGGCCACAGAAACCTTTGTACATCTTATTGAGAATCGCAACAAAGATAAGCCGCATATAAGTACGAAATATCCACCCGAAAGATGGGATAGCTAAAGTGGGATAGCTGAAGTGAGAAAGCTTAAGTGGACAAAACAAATGTGAAGACAGGATGGCGAATCGTGGAAAGAATGCGTCGTGGCAAGGCCCCAAATGCCCAAGTGCGATGATGGCGCGTTTGTCACCACCAACAGAAGGCGGCCAAGACGCGCACAATGCGGTCACGACGCACCGTAAAGCTTCCCTTCCTATAGTCACGAACAGCTGATGATCGTAATTCCTTTCCCTAGATCTTATATGCCGGGTTCCTTAAGGCTTTAATTCGATATCACTCGGCACGTACCCAGCCTAACGACCTGTCCATCCAGAAGCAATTTTCTGCTGACGGACCAAAAGCGACGCATTTCTTCAAAGAGCTTCAGAGTGATCAGGCTCGATTGGCAGAGCATGGTCGTGCCTTGGCATGGATGTCGTACTTCGAGGCTCAGAAAACGCAGATTTTCCACGAAATACATGTGTGTCGTAACATCGATATCCTATAGCTTGCCGTGTTAAATCTCCAGCACTGCCACAGGTGCGGCCGCCTCATCGTTTCATCCTGCTTCCTTGCAGCACCTCGCCTCACTAGCAGCGTGTTGCGGTCGCCAGCTGTGGGTCGACCCCATGACTCATGCATTCAACGCGGAGCGCAAAACTATTTCACAGGCGGATAAAGGGGGTGTCAGGGACGGATCCGAGGGAAATTATTGGGGAAGTTAGCTCAGGTTTCAATCTGGGCGTTCCCGAACCGGCTGTCTGCTGGAAGCAAGGTGGTGTGCTATCCTAGCAGGCTGCGGATGTTGCCGAGGCGGATGGAACAGGCCAAGGGCCGGTGCCAGCTATATAAGTATGAGAAAATGCCTGATGCTAGGATTTGTAAGCATTTCAACACCGTACGAAGCGTGCGCAAACCCCCAGCAGCCTCGTATACCCAGCACTCGCCATTGATTTCGGATATCGCCAGAGGCGGATATGAGCATTACAATATATGGTAGAAAGGCGACGGCTACTATTCACATTGTCAAACATCAGCCATATTAAATTGCGTGAGTATAGACCCCCCTATCTCAGGGAAACAGGAGAAAGCGGCTACCCGCACTGACTTCAAGCTTGAGAAATATCACCGGACGAAAACAGGTTTCAGCCCGCACAAACTGGCTGGGGGTGCAAAAGCGGAGCCGCAGTTAACCGTTAAGGCGAGTACAATGTTCGTCAACGTTACTTAATGCGTAGTTTGTAGTGATGCCGACGTAACAGTCAACGCTATACACACGAAAAAACTAATATTAAGACTATTAATAAAAAAAATCAAAAAGGATGTTCACTGATAGATATTTCAATGCTGCATTTACAACGAGGCTAAGATTCCTGATGTGTCTGAACCCCTTGACGCTCATCATTCGCAACAACCTATCCGAAGAAGTATACTGCTCTTGGGCTCGTGCACTGTTTTCATGCCAGCATCTTCCTTGCCGGCGAGCCCTGGGCGGCTAATGTTCAGCTGCACGCGTGACAAGACACTTCCAACGAAGTGATAATGTTTTCTGATCCCTTAGATATCACTGACTTTCAAAAATGACAATCAAATTTACGACGTCATTGGAGTAATGTTAAGAGAGCTGCGCAGGTTGACCTTTCAACAAACGCGTAATTTAAAAAGGCCTGAATAGATCTTGATATGAAATGCGTCAATAACGATGACCCCTCCTCACCCCCATCCGCGAACTGTTCAAACGTCGAACCGATGATCTCAGCCGCTTCCGCCGTAAATGACAGAGGGCGAATGGGTCATCCTCGGAGCAGTCAGAGCCTGTGGCGCCCGTGGGGCGGTGCGCCGGCTGGACCCTGACAGGTTCCCCTCGGACCAGTCAGAGCCTGTGGCGCCCGTGGAACGGTGAGCCGGCTGGACCCTGACAGGTTCCCCTCGGACCAGTCAGGGACTGAGGCGCCCGTGGAACGGTGCGCCGGCTGGACCCTGACAGGTTCCCCTCGGACCAGTCAGAGCCTGAGGCGCCTGTGGAACGGTGCGCCGGCTGGACCCTGACAGGTTCCCCTCGGACCAGTCAGAGCCTGAGGCGCCCGTGGAGCGGTGCGCCGGCTGGACCCTGACAGGTTCCCCCCGGACCAGTCAGAGCCTGTGACGCCCGTGGAGCGGTGCGCCGGCTGGACCCTGACAGGTTCTCCCGGACCAGTCAGAGCCTGCGGCGCCCGTGGAGCGGTGCGCCGGCCGGATCCTGACAGGTCCCCTCGGACCAGTCAGAGCCTGAGGCGCCCGTGGAGCGGTGAGCAGGCCGGAGCCGAAGTAATGGTTGGGCACAGTCGGCCTCTTCCCAGCTCCAAGGAGATGACTGCCGACGCGGCTCCCGTAAAGGGCCCAGCCAGAGAGGGTCGGCCAGGGCTGCTCGAGCGCGGCCTGACCCGGTCCACCGGCACGTGCGGTCATCTCCGCGTCACTGCGGCGTCAGCAAGCGTCTCAAGCTTACAACACGGCACCAAAGCATACCACTAAGAAGCCGCTGCATCTGTGGGCTAGCTCCCCCGCTCGTGTCTGCATCACTGCGGCTCCGTGCGACCTCTACGAACCGTTTGTCTAACCATCGCAAGCCCAGCCCTCATAGGAGGGCGCTGGCCTCCCCCCCCCCCCCCCCCCCGACGGTGGCCAACTGCCTGCCCGGTGCCCTCAGCTGGGGAGGACTCCTCGGGAGGACAGTGTGATGAACGGGTGACAGTGGGGAGGCCAATGGCCTCCGCCAGCCCCGGCTGCTACTGGGATGCTTTGTGAGCTGAAATACACCAGCTCGAACTTAATGCATTGAACCAGTAGATTTGCAGGTTATGGTGACAGATCCACAAAACGATCAAAGGAGCGTTGATGCTCACACATTTTTCCAGACGTCTGGCCTGATTTGATGGATGAAATGGCGGATACCGCATTCAACGACTTCATCCTCGTGATATCTGCGACGAGATTCTGATAAAGACTAGACGGATGGTGCCACATGTAGCTATAGAAGACACTAATGCGCCACAAAATATGAAGCGTTTAAATCATGAGGTCGTTTGTCACGTGCGATCTATAGGCTTCCGCTTGTCATTAATAGTCAGCAGCAACGTCAGCCGATATGCCAGCTATATTTCATGGATTTGAGAGACCATTTATAGCTTGGATTCAAGGTTCTGTATCTCGCGCTAGCTGTTGTAACCTATACATCCCTCTAAATGAAAGGGCTGAGACAATGCCGATCGCGGATGGAAAACAGTCGGTGACTAATTTCTATGCTTCTGGCGGATTGCATACACGATGAATGCAGTGTCGGAAGCTGGCATGACCTGCTACATGTCAAATGGGGTCAGATGGACCAAACATGTTGTGCATAGATCACGCCATTATCTCAAACGGTGCCAGATGAGCTTGGCCAACTGCAAGAAATATCGGTCAGCGAGAGAGAGAGAGAGAGAGAGAGAGAGAGAGAGAGAGAGGAGAGAGAGAGAGAGAGAGAGGAGAGAGAGAGAGAGAGAGGAGAGAGAGAGAGAGAGAGAGAGAGAGAAGAGAGAGAGAGAGGAGAGAGAGAGGAAGAGAG